AAATCCAGATTAATGGGATTGAATATTTAGATAAATTAGTAAGAGAAAAAGGGTGTTTATTCACAATACAATTATAAATGTGTTAAATTTTATGTTTTCTGTGTAATAGTAACAGATTGTTAGAGATTACATATTCAACCGTTTTGACCCGAGTTGTAAATTTTTGACTCGGTTGACCCGTTTTGACACGGGTGACACGGTTTACTATAACCCGGTTCTAAACTCTAATTTTTCTTCTCTGATAACATACATAATCGTGACACAAGTCCAATGAGTTGGAGATGAGTAGAAATGCCTTCTAAAATTTTCATATGAGTGAATCCAATCTCCTTTGAGACAAATATTAACAAGACTTTATTTAGAATAATAGAAAAAGAAAACCAAATGTTTCATACATAAAATTTTTTTTCTCACCTTTATAAAATCTAGTTTTAGTCCCTCTTGCCATTCATTATTAAATTTCACTACACGAAACATTGTTGTAATAATATCCATCGCGCTGTAACCTTTTTCCCAAAGTTTAGTTAATCCTGTCAACGCTTCATCCACCTTGTAATTATAACAATCATTAAGGACCTTTGTTACCGCGGCAGGATGCGGTTGATCGCAAACCTTATAAACGTTTTCAGCATTGACAAAACTAAATCCTGTAAACGTTGATTGAAGATTATTGATAGCCTGACGCATATCCCCTTCAGCGGTGAAAATGATAGCTTCGAGGCCTTCTGGATTATACTTCACCTGCATAACGTGTAAATAATATTTAAGAAAATAATAAAAAAAACGACGAAAAAAACGATGCGACAAACTAATGTACTCACACCTTCAAGTTTACAAATTTCTGTCAACCTCTTCAATATTGCTTTGTCCGACAATTTACTATATTTTAAAATAGTGCATCTACTTTGAATTGGTTCAATGATTTTATTTGACGTGTTGCACGCCAAAGCAAACCTCGTCGTATTGGAATAAATTTCCATAGTACGACGAAGTGCTTGTTGAGCACCAGGTGTCATGCTTTATTTCAAAAAATAAAAGAATAAATTTTTATGAGCCAAAGATAAACTTAGAATATTGAGTTAATCACAACTAACCTATCAGCTTCATCAAGGATAACAATCTTCTGTCTACCAGGTGGGAGTGTAACTTTAGTTTGTGCGAATGTTTTAATCGTGTTTCTGATAACATCAATACCTCTAAGCATTATATATTACAATATTAGAAGATAATGATTAAGGAATTATGAATCAATTAATAGAATTTTACCTATCATCTGAAGCATTTAGCTCTAATACGGCATCTTTAGCGTGAGGTCCCAATAATTCGTTTGCTAAGCACAGAATACTCGTCGTTTTACCAATACCGGGTGGACCCTACGAAACAATTATTGTTAAAAGGGTTCGTACAACAGGCTAAAAGAGAAATTAAAAATGTTTACAGATAAAAGCATATTAGGCATGTTTCCTTTTTGTGCTATTATTTGTAATCTGCTAACAACGTCTTCATTTCCTATTACGTCCTTCATTAAAACCGGTCGATATTTTTCAACCCTTTCAAAGAAACAATATTATTATGAACTAATTTATAACGCGCCTTGTTAAAAAGAGTACGATATTCGCGTTAGATACCAGGGGAGCTCAGTAGCATCAACGTTGCCTGGATACTTGCTATCATCATTTTGAACAAATGAAGTATTTTCTACGGGGTATGAATCAATTTCCATCACGGTCAAGAGTAAAAGTCGAATGTAAGTTGGACCGCGACGCTATCAGCTTATTTAAAATTAACCAATCATATCACAATATATCAAAACAAATACACAATCGATTTATGTGTAATGCAGTAATGGATAATTCTAAAAAAAGAACATTACTAGGAAATCAGAGAATCTGTACCCTTAGTCCGTTCTATCCAGGGATGGCAAATGACCAGGTCTTTTGCTTGAACCCAAGACCAATAAAGTCTTTAGGTTATAACCAAATGACCATTCACATGATATCAGTCACACATCTAAATTTTTTTATATATAAACTTATAACAAAAACTAGGGCTCCGACGAACCCGAACCAAATCAAACTTTAGAAAGGGTTTGGGTTCGGTTTGAAATTCAAATCAAACTCGAACTCAAACTATTTTTATAGCTGAGTTTGAATTTCAAACTTCAGGCTTGGTTCGGGCTTGATTTGAGTTCGATCCGAAAGTTTGCAAACATGTTTGAAAGTTCGGGCCCAATTATAGTTGGTGGTAACTATCTTCTATCTGACAACCATTTAACTGCCAATCACTTTCAATTTCCCGACAATTACTATTTTTCCAATAACCATTCTTTCTGATCATAGTAATTTGAAAAGCACTGTAAAATATCTGTTATACCTGTTTTTTCAAAACATACTGATAAAAAATCTGCCAAATGATTTTTTAGCTGTTCCAGTTAAATTATTATTTTGGATAATAAATTTAAATTATGCATAATTTTTATATTAATTAATGCAGTAGCATATGATTATTGATTTGCATTACAAAAATTTGTTAGTATTAATAAAAGTATTTTACATAGCAAAAATCACAAATTTCTATTCTATATACTGATACATCTCTATATTTCTATATACTAGGAAAATATGTAGCATTATGTACTCAGAGCATATCATATAATAATCATTTTATTATACAAATGCATAAATATGCATATTTTGTTATACTAAATTAACAAATTTGAACACACGTGCGGACAGACAAAAAATTGCCAAATTATGTTTCTGATATGATCTTTATAATATTTGTACAGATTTAGTCAAATACAAAAAAGTTTGGAAAATTTAAAAAGTAATGTATTAGAAAAATCACTAATTTTGGTCGAAATATATCAAAAACGTAATTTTTGTATTACTTGCCGAATAACTAAGAGTCTCTTTGCTATACTCCAGGCCAATAATATTTTTTTACAATAATTTTAACATTATAAAATATCAGCACATTCAATATAAAATAAAAACTTATACTTTTTTTAATTAAATAAAACTTAATATATTAAAAACTAAGAAAATGATTTTATATTACAACACAAAGTTAATATATGCATCAGATATATTATACTTTAGTTCGCTTTTAGATAATTCTATAAAAAAGATTGTATGAAATTTGTATATAATATATATATATTAAAATCTGAGCAGAGTCTAATAAAAAGTATTTTTTATTAAATTAACAATCAAAGTTAATTAATTAAAAAATATAGAGCTCACTAAGACATATCTAATAGTTAAATCATTCAAATTGGTTTAGTAGATACTGAGATATTACTAAAAAATAATTAGCTAACTATATAAAATTCTATATTTGTTTATATAAAATGTTATATAGTTGGGAAATCATTTTTTAGTAATATCTCAGTATCTACTAGACCAATTTAAACAATATAACTACTATTAGATATATCTTAGTAAGCTCTACAATTTTCAATTAATTGATTTTGGTTGTTAACTTAATAAAAAAATATTTTTCATTAGACTTTGCTCAGATTCCAGCATATACTATATGTTTTCAAAAATAAGCTACATCTGAAAGAAGCTACTTTTTTTTTTTGAAAAAAAAATATAAAAACCTTTTATATCTGAAAATAAGCTACTATATGATCATCAGTAGTTACTCTATAGTAAAATCAAAATTTTACTAAGTAAATCG